GAAAGGTAATGGGCAAACTTGACCTGAAATGGATAGGAGGGCAGCACACATGCACCTCTGACAACCCGGGATGGAGGGAGGGAGCACAGGCCTCAGCTGAGCCCCACACAGGAGGCATCCCCCGTGGGCGATGTGTGGGGGGATGCCAGCTGTTTAGCGGAGGCCTGAGCACAGCCTGTCTTTCAGTCTCTGTGTTTTGCTCTGGGGCCTCCAGCTTCATGAGAGTTTGGCTAATAACGATTGGGCTCCTGGATGACAGCCCGTGAGGTGGGGCTAAGGGTCAAGGGTATGGCGGTGAGTGAAGGACATGCATGTTCCCCGGGGAAGGCTGCTGAAGGGACTGAGCCATGTTTCCTGCTCTCAGGGGGAACCAGGAAGGCACTCAGCCAGGGCTAAGTGGGGACTGGCAAAATCTGGCTCCCAGCTTGGGTTTGGCCTCTGATTCATTGGCTCCCTGGCCTCCCTACTCAGATGGGGTGATGGGGGCGGGTGAAGGGGACATGCCAACCTACAGGGTCCCTAAGGTCATCTGAACAACGGTGGTCAAGAACACGGTCACCTGGACCAGTGACTCTCATGCTTTCAAACATACAACCTCCTGGGATCTCCTTCCAGTGGAGACCCTGATTCAGGTCTGTAGCTGGCCCCAGAATCTGCACTGTAACAAGCTCCCAGGTGCTGTAAATACTGCTGCTTCCAGGACTACACTTTGAGCCAGCACCCTGGTTCCAGAGGCCCTGGATTCTTCATGAGATTAGCAGGACGTGGGCACGGATCTGGGCCCCTCGCACTGGCCCAGGGGCTGGCAGAACCCCGCACACTGAGCCACTTTCCCACCACACTTACCCCTAGTGCCAGGGGCCCACAGTGGAACCACACACACAAGTCTTTCATCTGCGTCAGCTCCTCCTGACTCCAGCTGCCACCTCCTCCCACTGGGACACGGGGCTCTGATGAGCCAGCCCTGCCATCAGCCTTCCTGGCCCTCCAGGCTCTGGCCCAGCCCTTGGCCCACCTCAGGAGCTTGGAGCTGTTTCCTGGTTCACCTCTGTTATCAGGCTTCCTGTCAGAGATCCTGTCCATAAAGCCGGATGCTCTCTCCCACACCTTGTGGGATTTTGGGGGACCCACTGAAGGTAGAAATGAATCAGGTCCCCCGTCCCCATCAAAGTGACTCTATGCTCTCTCCTTGGCCAGGACGCCCTGATCCCAGACACCAGCATGTCTCCAAACACATTGAATAAACCACAATCACGCTGTGCGTATGTGCCAGCACCGAGTTTTCTTTCTCTTTATTTGAAGGGTACTGGGAAAGGGGGGCGAACAGCTGGAAAAGGTGCTGGCAGGTGGTGGAGACCAGCAGGTGTCAATCCGTCATGTTCCTGGAGTGGGGGATGGGTTGGTACAGGCTGAAAGCAAAGGGTAAAGGTTGGAGAAAGAGGAGGGGCTGAGGAGACCACCTCCCAGGGGAGTGACCAGCTGGTGGCTGGAGCCTGAGGTGGAATTGAATGGAGATTGGGGATGGGGTCAAGAGGTAGATGAGGGGTAGGGTTAAGGTTAGGAGCTTGGGAAGGCCCAGGATGCTCCCTTTCTGCTGAGGGGACTGAACATGGGCTTCAGCCTGCACTGACACTCAACCCACCCCGCGCCCCCGGCGCCACCCCCTCACCACCGCCCCCCATCCTCAGATGGTAGGATTTGGGCAGATGGAGCCCCAGGTGCTGCCCAGACAGAGGAAGCTTTGCCCAGCCAGCGGCCTTCTCCACTCCAGGATGGCTGCAGCCAGAAGCAGGGCCATGGGCATGGTTTCTCCAGAGAAGCCCCAGATCAAGGAAGGGCTGGGAGGGCGGGGGCTGGGGCAGGGACAGGGAAGGCAGAGGTGAAGAGCAGATGCAGACAGCAACAACCTCCAGCCCGAGGTCCCAGGGCAGGAATCCTGCCTGTGTCTGCACCAGGGTCAGCTTCAGTTTTGCGAAGTGAAAGAACAGGCTCAGAAAGGTTAAGCACCTTGCCCAAGCCTGTCCAGGTAGCAAGCAATCAAATACAAAGTGGTACCCATTGTGTCTGGTTGTATCAGCATACCCTGTCCTCCCAAGGCCAGGGCCAAAGTCAGGCTGCCCTGCAAAGGCTCCCTGGAGCTCCTCCATCCTAAAGTCAGTGTGGCAGGTGGCAGGGGCCCACCATGCACCGTGATGGGCCACAGGAAGCTGGGTAGGGACACACCCTTGCCCTTGCCCCCACTGCTGAAGTGGCCAAAGAAGGGCCAGGCCCTGCTCCTTTTCCTGCCCGAGGCCCCTCCCCACCCAGCAGACTGGTCTTCTTGCCCTGACTGGTCTCCCCTTCTACTGACTGTGCAAACCACATCCCTCATTCATTGACCCAGTCCCTACTGCACTCCAGGCACTGTGCAAAGTGCTGGGGATACACAAGGGGACAAGTCACAATCCCAAGCTCATGGGTTTTGGCAAGAACAGGTGGAGTGATGAAGACAGACATGTAAGTACAGTTACAACAGGACATGGTGCCTGGTGTGCAGAGTTGTGAAATGTCCATCAAGTCAGGGAGGGGGTGGGGCATCCAGCAACCTGCCAGGCAGGGAAGATGCCCCTGAGGAGCCACATTGCAGCAGAGCATTGAAGGGCAGTTAGGGGCTGGCTGGGTGAGGTGGCAAATGGTCCTATCGGCCCCAGGACAGCAGATGCCAAAGCGTAGTGGCCGGAAGGAGCCTGGAGTGAGCAGTGGAGGCTGATGGAGGGTCTTTGTGGGTGAGATGAGAGACCAGCAGGTGGGCTGGGCAAGACTGGGGAGGATTCTGCACATCTAGCTTGGGGACTGGAGCTCTATTGAGCCCGGGGCCTTTAGGGTTTTTAAGGAGGGAGTAGATGCCACTAGATTTGCTTTTGGAAAGGTCACTGTGGCAGTGGGTCAGTGTGAGGGGGTGAGGGGTGAGGAGTCAGGTGGCCTAATCCAAGGCAGTGGCTTCAGGAAGGAGAGGCATTGGCCCACTGGAGGGATATTAAGGAGGGAAGGAAGAATGAAGGATGCCTTTCAGATCAGGGGCCTGGGTTCTGGAGGTAAAGACCAAAAAGTAGTTAACATGTAAGTACCTCACACTAAGCGATTGAGGACTGGAGCTCAGAAAGTAGTTAACATATAAATGCCAGAAGTCCATCAAAAGGCTGATAAACTTTGATATTCAGCAAGGGCTGAGAATCAGTATATTATTACCTGCTATTGGATGAATGGCTGAAGGCAATCCTCTAAGCACATAATCCTTTTATTGTTTACCAAACCTTACCATTGATGTCTGTTTGCTTTGCTAAGGGTAAAATGTATATTCTAGTAAATAAAAAGCTATTTGTCCAGAGATTCAGGAAGCCACTCCACTAGAGAGTAGGTTTCCACCTGGTTCCCCCATGCATTCTAAATTTATATTTCTTGTTTAGTCTATCCATTTATGTGTGGCCCCTTCACCAGATCCTGAATCCTCACTGCAAAAGGTTGTGGCACCTGGGTGCCTGGTGGATGGAGAGAGGGAACCTTGGGTGGGCATGCAGGGGCCTGTAGGCCCTTGCTGCCTGCTAACTGGAACTAGCCTCTCTCTCAAAACCATGTCCTTTCTGCTGACTGCTCAGCCTCCCAGGTTCTCCACATTTAACTCATTTTTGCTTTCTGCTCCTTGGGCTCCAGTATTTCACAGGTAGTCTGACCATTTTGCACCACAGGGACATCACCAGTGTCCTGTTAAAACAAAAGGTTCTATGTGGTGAAGAGAAGCTTTAATGAGCCAAGGAAGAATGGAAAGGCAGGGGCCCGGACAAGAGGGAGGAAGCCAGCCAGGCAGGGACAGACAGAGTAGGCAAGAGGGAGAAAATAACAGAGATGAGGGCCAAAGAGAGAGGAGCTCATATTTGCTGTGGGCCTCTGAGTGCCTTTCTCATCTTAGTGCCGGCTCTTTAGTGGAGGCCTGAGCCATGAATTTTGCTCTGGGGCCTTCATGTTCATGAGAGTTTGGCTAATAACGATTGGGCACCTGGATGACAAAGCCCGTGAGGAGGGGCTAAGGGTCAAGGGCATGGCAGTGAGTGAAGGACACACATGTCCCCCGGGAAGGCTGCTGAAGGGACTGAGCCATGTTTCCTTCTCTCAGGGGGATCCAGGAAGGCACTCAGCCAGGGGCTCAATGGGGTTCCGGCAAAATCTGGGACCCAGCTTGGGTTTGGCCTCTGTTCTATTTCCTGCAAAGTGCTGAGGATACAGAAAGGGACAAGTCACTATTCCAAGCTTATGGTTTGGGGAAAGAGGGAGTGGAGTGACAGAGACAGACATGTAAGTACAGTTACAACCGGACATGGTGCCTGGTGTGCACAGAGCCCTAAAAAGTCCATCAGGTCAGGGAGGGGGTGGGGCAACCAGCAACCTGCCACGCAGGGAAGATGCCCCTGAGGAGCCACATTGAAGCAGAGCAT